TGTTTTGATTTGCATCTCTCTAATAGCTAATGATCGTGAGCATTTCTTCATATGTTTGTTGGCCGCTTGAATATCCTCCTTAGTGTAAAGCCACCTCTTATATACATATGGTGGTTACTGCACTGGAGCAGTGTTGTGTGACCCTAGGCAGATTACTCTCCCTCACTTCACAGAAGGTGGTGATGACCTTTTGGAGATGCTTTGAGCACATGTTGTATTTACTGAGGTCTAGATATGCTAGATTTGTCCCTGGGTGGCTCAAATGGTTAAGTGCTCAACTGTGAAAAGTTGGCAGTTCGAACCCATTCAGCAGCTCCACATAAGAAAAAACTGGCCATCGCCTTCCATAAAGATGACAGCCAAGGAAACCCCGTGGACCTTGGTTCTATTCCGGAACACATGGGGTCGTCATGAGTTGGACTCTGCTTGACAGCAATAGGTCTGTTTTTTGTTTTTATATGCTAGCACTAGGCAAGAAATAATGCACTCAGTGAAGAGTCTTGAATCGTGCCTCAAGAACTTTACATTCCAATGGGGGAGGAAGCAGACAAAACCCAAAACCCATAAAAGTCCAGACAGTTTCAGATACTGCTGAATATTATGGTGGGAATAAAGCAGATTCCATGATACAGTAACCTAGGGGGTACGGGTGTATATTAGACTGGGTAGGAAAAACTTGTGAAGGCGAAGCTGAGTTTGAAGGGACCATCTGTGAGAAGAGCCAAGTGGAGAGGAAGCAGAGGAGTTGGCCTGAAGTGTTCCAGGTATGGCAAAGTGGCCAGCAGCCAGAGCAGGGTGCCAGAAGGGGAGACAAGCAAGTGAGGCAGGCTAGAGTTAGCGCCCACAGCAGGAGGAGTTAGGTTTTTATTTAAGGTATAGTGGGAAATCAAAGGAGCTCTGGTGGCATAGTGGATAAGGCATCTGGCTACTAACCAGGTCAGTGGTTCAAACCCACCAGCTGCTCTGCAGAAGGAATATAGAACAATCTACCGCCATGAAGATTTATAGCCTCAGAAACCCATTGGGGGTTGCTATGAGTTGGAATCGACTTGATGGCAGTGAGTTTGGTTTTGTTTTTTTGGGAAAATAACTGAGGTGGTTTATAACAATGATGGAGTAGCCATTGGGCCTGTTACAACTTGGGTGGGTAATGGTTCAGGTCCCCTGTAGATCTGGCTTCTGGCCCTCAAGGGAGACCCCAGAGTCTCAGAAGAAAGCAGTATCAAGTGTTCCACAGGGATAGTTCAGGACTTTAGACAATCCTTGGCCATCTCCTGTTGTGGGTATTTGGGAAGAAAAGTTCTAGATTTGCCCAAACAAGAGACTAAGTTTTGAAGAGGGTGTGGGGCCTCTAGTTCAGGCCCATACAAGTTAAAATCTCCAGACAATTTTCCTGCCTGCAGGCTCCAAGCAATTGAGATGTAAAATACAGAGTGTGTGTTGGAGTAGGGGGATGCTGAAGTCAGAGCTTGCCCAAGCCGAATCCTCCCCCTCAGGCAGTCACCACACAGACACAGATGCAAAAAACCGTCAATTTTATACAGTTCATGGTTCAGAAGCAACAACAGCAAAATGGTGGAACAGTCAGTGCTGCCACCACCCCACCTGGACGCACCAGTTCCCCCATCCCCCAAGGGGCATGGAACCCAGGACTCCTGCCCAGTCTGACCCTACTTAGTTACAGGCCCCTGAGAGGGGCCAAGCCCTTAGGGGTCAAGGCTGGGAAGGAGGGGGACCAGCACCTTCTGCCCCCTCAGGAGTCCACTACTTGACTGGAACTGTGTATGTGTGGAGGGTGGGAAAATGACCGACAATGGGCCATGTCTCCCCTTCAAGGCTAAGGGTGGGGGAGCAAGTAAAGCTGAGAAGAGGGCTTCGTGGGACAGGGCCCCCACAGGAGTTTTCCTGGACACCCCACAAGGCACTACTGACCCAGACGTAGGACAGGACACCCCTCTTAGGCCCCAGAAACTCTCCCAACCCTGAGCTTGCCTAGTTCTCTCCCAGTTTCCACTGTGGTCTGGAGGAGGAAGAAGTAAGTCTGGGCTCCCCACTCTGCAGACAAGCCAAGAACCAACCAGGCCTTCGGGACTGGCAAATACCTCTCCCGCTGCTCGCTGCTGGGGGCTCCTGGGGTCCCCTCGCCCCCTCCTTTTTGCACTGGCTGGAACGAATAAATAAATAAATACCTTCCCCCACCCACCCCTGTCCCTACAGCTGGCTCTCCTCCTCCTCCAGGGAGCGGTTGAGTCCCGGGATGAACTTGAGCAGCCGCCGGCGGAAGCTGCGGTACTTGGTTTTGCGCAGGCCGGGGCCGCAAAGAGC